AAGCCCCTGACGCCCTTGGGACAGCAGCCAGCCCTGTCCACTCTGCCCAGAACTGCCGCTGAGCTGCGTCCTTGGCACTTTCAGCCGAACCATCCAGCTTGGCTGGCTCCAACTTCTCCAGCAGGGCTGCGTGTGGGCGCCCCCTCCCCAAGGAGGAGAAAGCTGGTGGTTGGCTGCTTATGGCAAAAGGCCCCGGGGATGATGGCCGGGCTGGAACTGGGGGGATGGGTTCAGTTTGGGGGTCCATCAGCTGTGGTCGTGTCTCTGAGGGCTTCTCTCTGCACCTCAGCCTCATCTTCCTGACTCGTCCATTGGCCAGCCCTTAGCCCGCTCACCCTCATCCCTGCAGTGCCCCCCACAGAGGAAGTCAGACGCCTCCTGGGACATCAAAGCTAGAGAAGTTGCACAGATCCGCTCTCCTTGTCCATTTTACAGACAAGGAAACAGGCCTAGGAAGGGCTGTGGCCTCGTAGTCCGGACACACTGGGGCTTCTGTCCCCCACGCCTCGAGCTTGCCTCGTCCTGACCTCTTGGTGTCTTTCAGCTCGTGCTTCGTCTATGCCTGCCACGTGGTCAGCGTTTTCACCGAGGAGGACAGCTGTGAGTGTGCGGCCGCCGGGCTCCCACAACAGCCTCTTGGTGGCCTGGCATGGACCCTCCAGGCAGTGGCAGGGTGGGGGGGGCGAGCAGAAGGCGCAGAAGGCTCACGGTGACTCTGGCCATTCTCCTGGCCTGTCACTGCAAAGGCTGAGATCTCGCCTCTTAGATGGATCCCCCTGCCCTCAGGGGTCCTTGCCTGAGCAGAGGGGTGGGGGGCCCAGCCACCTGAGAAGAGATGAGGAGCGGCCCCGGGCTGTGGGCATCAGGGGTCAGCTCATACCAAGCCCCCAGGTCCAAGGGCTCCTGTGCTGCAGAGCTGGTCCCCCACAGCCCCCACAGCAGCTGCAGGTGGAAGGTTGAACCCTCAGACCTGCAGAGGGATGGGCCCCTCGGCCTCCCCACAGCTGAGATCGGGCCCTACTGGCTGTGGTGTCCCTATCAGGCACTCAGTGCCCGCTGGACCCATCGGAGCAGTATTTTTGCTTCCTGCTCAGAGAGGGGGGCCCCCTTGACCTTCCTCTGACTTGTAACTCCAATGCTCAGGCACCCTTGTGGGCCCCAACTGCCCCCGGCTCTGACGTAGTTTCCTGGGAAGACTCTGCAGAGGACAAAGCTGGCGTGCATGGGGACTGGGTGCACCCAGGGGGCCTTGGCTCCCATGGGCAGAACCTTCCTTGGGGTCAGAACGGGGATCCAGATCTTCTGTTCCCAGGAGTCAGGTGGCTGTGGGGCTGGCGGTCCATGTGTCCAAATGGCATCCTACTCTGGGAGACCAGACTTGCTCTGGACCAGGCCCCAGATCCCCCAGCTGTCATGCTGTGTGACCCCCAAACCGTCATTCAGACCACTGCTGGCTGGGAGAGAACCAGAGGGGATTCACGTGTCGGTTACATTAAAATGTTTTGGGATGGGAGCCAGCCCTGCGGGTTCAGAAGTGCATTAGCTCTGCCCAGCAAGCCCAGCTACCCACTGGCTGCCCAGCACAGCTTCAAGGGGCAGGTGGCTGATGCTGATGGAAGTGGTGGGGGCATGGTTGGGTCACAGTGAAGCTCTCCGAAGCCCTGAGGACCCAGGCCATCACTGCAGACCCCCTCCCCCTGCTGAGCTCGTCAGTGTCCACTGGAACATTTTACCGGGGGAGTCACAGTGTTCCTCCTCCAGAGGGACATGGCCAGGTCTGGGCCGAGCCTGGGGCAGTGCCTGCCCTCCCCCAGGGCCCCCAGGCTCGCCCCCGCCTCTGCCATCACCACACCAGGGTTCTGCCATCTTTTCCATTGTTTGGGTCTTGTTTTCTTTCAGTTGATTTCATTGGTGGATCTGACCCATTTCCTCTCTACCATGTCAATGAAAAGCCTTCCAACCTCTTGTTCAAGCAGGCGTACTTGTATGTATGGCCAACAGAGCCTGCCCCTGGCCGGGCCTAGCCGGTTGGGTTCGCACAGCCGTGAGGCTTCTCTCCCTGTGGAAGCCTCACCAGCCATCTGTCTGTCCATCCATCCCTCCATCCGTCATCTGTTCGTCTACCTGTGCCAGCTCTGGGCTGGGTATGGAGGTGTCAAGGCTCTGGGGCTTGGCCCCCAAGCCCTGGAGCTCCAAGCCCAGCAGAGTCCATGGAGTTGGGTCTAGGACGGTTTTGTGCCAGGGGGCGGGGGGGGGGTCATGGAGAGACCACGTCCCAGGAGGGCAGTGTGGCTGTTCTCTAAGGGTCTCACTGCGGCAGGAAATTTGGGGTGTTGGTTTCTTTGGAGAATCAGGCTTCTTTCCTCTTAGAAAGCGGTGTCCAGGACCCTGCACCCTCCCAGGCTCAGGGTGGGGGTACCTGAGCCGCTGTCCACCTCCTCTCAAGCAGCCTTTGCCAGGTCCCCCACATAATCCTGAAATTTGGGGTCCAAGAGCCAGCTGGGGGTCCTTCTCTCCACAGAGTTGGACTTGCTCCATCCCACGCAGGCTCTTGGACACAATTCTGCCCTTCAGGCGACACCTGTGGCGGGGGACCCCGGCCCTCTTGGCAGCCGCACCCTTTCTGCCCTATAAGTGAAGGCCCATCTCAGCCAAGGGCCATCAGGGGTAGCAGGCGTCCTGTCCCCGTGACAGGAGAGCCCTCACTCAGGCCGCAGAGCCAGGGCAGACTATGAGAGCAGACACCTCGGGCACACGGGGCTCTGAAGGACTTCGCCAGGCTGTGCGGGCCTCTGGGGATCTCCTCCAGCCATTGGAGCCTGGGTGGCCAGGATGCAGGGTCAGCCCCTCACCCCACCCCCAGCTTCGTGGCCCAAACCCTATTGTCTGCAGATACAAGGCGGGGCCTGCACAGAAGCCCCGCCCCCACCAAAGGCCAAGAAGCCCTCGGCTGCTGGGATGTTGTGCCTTTTGCATTTGGGGCTGTCCAAGGCAAAGAGGGCACAGCAGCCCCTGCTGAGGGCCGACTGGCCCAGCCTTCCTGCCCCGGTGCCAAGGGCTCTGACCTCTGCCCACCCCGACCTCGCCCCACAGGCCTGCATAAGTAAAGAAGCACCAATCCCTCCCGTGTGCAACCTCCAGGCCCAGGGACCACCAAAGACTGCGGGGAGACTCACCTGGCCTCCCTACTCTCAGGGCCCTGCAGGTGGCCAGAGCATCTGCCCCCGGGGCCAGGTGATTGGACACCAGCCAGGGCATCAGGGCCAGTGCCAGGCTTTGGATGGCTGCAACTTCAAAACAATCTATAATTTCCTTTCTCTTAAAAACAAAACAAAAAAAACCCCAGAGAAGACACAGAAGCCTCCAGCAGCGCCGGCCTGGGACGGCTGTCTGACAAGCCCACCCTGGGTGCCTACGCCAGCCCCAGGCCCCCTGAGGCTGCACACCCCATGGCTGGGGGAGGGGTGGCCACAGGGACTTTGAGACAGGAAAGTGTGACCCCACCACGAAACTCAGTGTAAACCCACAGTGACCCCCCTGCCCCAAGCAGCCGGGCTCCTGATTAAATACTGCACACCCCGGCTGCCGTGAGCTGTCACCCAGACAAAGCCCCCACCTGCCCCAGGGGCCGCTGATGGAGCCCTGGGTGGGCCGCTGGGCTCGACCAGGAGTACAGGCTCCCTCTGCCCACAGAGCAATGCACTTCCTTGTCCTTAGCTGGTGGTGCTGTTCACAGAAGGGGTTTAAGCCCTGGTCCTGCAGCGTCCCCACAGTACTCCCAAATAGAAAGTAGAAAGGGCGCTGCCCCATAGACCTCCTTCCCTGAGACGCAGGAGTTTGGTGGAGAATTACGAGCTCAGTCCCTGAAGCGGCCTGGGGCTAGAGGTTTTAGAAGTGCTCACAACGCTGAGGAGAACAGAACGGGGGAGAGGAGAGGGGACGGAAGGGGCCCTGCTGGACACGAGGAGGCATGTGGGGAGATGTGTGGCCGGGCTGCCCTGCTGCTGCGTGGGCGGGGGCAGGGGACCTTCCGGAACAGAGGCTGCTGAGCGCCATCCAGGGAAAACCCACTTTATTGTGACTCTCCAAAAGCCTCCAAGCATCAGTAAAACCACCTTTACACCCACTCCCTTTGCCACGACGTCTGCAGCTCCCTTCCACCCTGGGCTGCGTCTGGGGACTTGGGACAGCCCGTTGTGGTTGCCAGCTCAGCTGTCCTCAGCAGGCCTGCCGTGTGGCCCGAGGGACAGGCGGAGATGGGCAGGGTGCCCGCCAGCTGTTGAAGCACCTGGGAGAGAAGGAGGGATGAGTGGGCTACTCCCGGTTGGCTTGTCCATGGACCAGAGACTCCAGCCCGCAGGAAGCTCCCTCCCCGGCCACTTGACCCCCCTGGAAGTTGCTCGGAGAGACGGGGTGGGGGGGGGCACAGAATCCTTTGACTACCAGGAGGAGGCCATGCTTCCTGCCAGCCGTAAAAATCCAAGGTTCACGCTCCCCTCCCTCACCGGTCACGCATTCCCGCCTGGCCTTGGCCGCCAGGTTAAGATCTCTGCCCAGGCCCTGCCTCATAACAGCGCAGCTCCAGAGCCATCCTCCCCTGGGCCTGGCTGTAGCCCACACACCCAGCTGGACAGGGGGCTTTATCCCCCCAATCCCTGGGGAAGTCAAGGCAGGGCTGGGCCCAGCTGGTATGGTTGAAGTGCCCCAGCAGAGTGGTGGTGGCCAGCTGCGGTGCCGTGTTGAGAAGGACCCAGAGCACAGATGTGAGTGTCGAGGGAAGGTAAAGCGTTGATCAGCAACGTCTGCCGGGGCCCGGGAGCTAGAAGAAGCAGAAGTGCTCCCTCCCGCCGCTGCCCACGCCAGCCAGCCCCGGTGTTGAGATCGTGGGGGACCAAGTGTGCTGGGGGTCCCTGTCCAGGCCCGAGGCCCACGTGGGGACGTGCACACATCAGGCCAGGCTAGGATCCACCTGTGGGTAGCTCCGCGGCCGCTCACCTGGCCTAGGGCAGGAAGGTGCGCACGCGGCTGCGGATGGGGGCCCTGCAGATGGGGCACAGCTGCAGGGCCGGTGCGCACGCGGCACAGACCAGGTGGCCGCACGGCACAAGGACGGTGCCCACGGCGCGGTCCCAGCACACCTTGCAGGTCCGCTCCTCCCGCAGACTCGGCAGCTGCTCTTCTGTGTCCCGGGCTCCTGGGGGTTCGAGAGCCCAGCAGCGCCCTCTGGGCCAGGGCTCCACCCGCTTCCTCCAGGGCCACCCTGTCCACCCCCAGACCTCCACCTTCTGTCCTGGGCTAATGGGGGGGACCCCTCCCCCCAGGATGCAGGGGAGCTGGCCCTGCCCCCGGGTGGGTCCCACCCTCACCTGGCTCCCTGGCGCCTTCTGACTGGACCTCTCTTCTGGGCGTGGGCAGCTCAGGGCCCGTGTGAACAGGAGCTGTAGGTGGTGAGGAACGGACTAGAAGCTCCAGGGGAAGTGAACCCCCACCCAGAGGGGCCACAGGCCAGGTCTGGCTCTGGCAGGAGCCCACCCAGCCCCACAGCCCCCCTCCGGCCCCCCCCACAGCGTGCCGTAACCCCCAGAGCCCACGCCCCCGCGACGTGCCCCTGCAGACCCTGCGCGGTGGCCGTGGGGGCGTGTGCCCGGCGCTGTGGGGCTGCGAGGAAGGGCTGTGCCCAGAGGGGATGAGCAGAGAGAGGCCAGGGCGGGGACGCACCTCTGGCCACCGTCACCTGGCCCCCCTCCTCTTCCTGGAGCAGGTCGGCCACCAGCTGGGACGCGGAGATGCCAGCGGGCACCGCCCACCGGTACCTGCGCTGCAGCAGCTGTTGCACGCGGCTCGGCCCAAAGCCCATGCGCAGCACGGCCCGCACCGCTGGGCACCGGCTCCATGCGGACCACTCCTGGCTGCCCCCGGCACCTGCAAGGCAGGGTGAGGGGCACTGGGCCGAGGGCAGGGAGGGCTGGGGCGGGGCTCAGGGTCACAGGACAGGGGCAGCGGCTCGCCACTGTGGCCGGTCTCCACGGGCCTCTGTGGCCACCACAGCCACCTCGTTGATGTTCCAGGGAGGGCTGTTCCTCGTTCAGAGGCGCCACCACACAGGAAAAACAGTAAAAGCTCATCGCCAAGGCCACTATAGACAGAACCCCGCCAGGTGCCGGGTGCTGCTCCCAGAGCATCACATAGACCGGCTCGGTTCCAGACGAGGGTGGCACCATCCCCATTTCAGAGCTCAGGGCGATGAGGTTCAGAGAGCAGAAGTCACTTGCTACAGACTTAGAAGAGCCAGGGTCTGAACCCTGGAGCCCTTGCACCCTTGCCCTGCAGTCCTGGGCATGGGTGTAGACAGCACCCCCCGCTGCCCCGTGCGCTCCCGACTGCAGCCACCTCCGGGGCGAGGGGCACCAGGTACACACAGCTGCCTCTCCTCTTCACGCTCCCACTGTCGGCCATGGGATTGGCGATGCCCACAGTGGGCTGCTCAGTGGTGCCGGGGACTGCCTTCCCTCCCCCGGAGCACCAGACACACAGTGCACCTGCATGCAGCCCCCTGCCACCCAAGCAAGCCTGGGTAGTACCCTCACACCTGGCCAAGCAGCCTCACTGTCCCTGCACTGAGACCTCTGCCACAGTGCAGGCTGCAGGTGCCCAGGGAGCAGAGCATGGGGCACGCACCACAGCTCACCTGAGGGGGGGGCAGGGGCCCCGTCTTCTGGTTCCTCCGGGCGGTCCTGAAAGGCGCCAGAGAACATCTGTGCCCTGAGTAGAAGGAGGAGTGGGGGTGGGGAGGGACCCGGCTCCCCCCGCCCCACCCGAGCCCTAAGGAGAGGCAGCACTCACCCAGGAGCCGGGCAGGTGGCAACAAGCCTCCTGGACACTGCAGACAAAGTCCCGTCCCTTTGTCTGGAGCAGGAATTCGCACCTGGAGAAAGCAGGTTGGGAGGTCTTGTGGCAGCGGGCTTTTGGGCTGCTGGAGAACCCCTCTATCCAGCCTAGTGCCCCCAGTGCCCTGCAGAGGGCAGCTGGGGCTGAGTGTCAGGCACTTGCTGGGAAGGCTGTTTTGGAGAGACAGCCTCTGTGGAGCATCAGGGGAGAAACAGCAAAAATGCTATCCCCAGAGGCCCCCATCCCCAGGATTCGACACCCCCCCGCCCCATGCCCAGCCCCAGGAGCGGCCTGCGGGGTCCTTACCTGGGGAACCACTTGGCATGCTCTGTCCAGGGGTCATCCCCTTGCTCCCAGCTCTGCAGACCCCCATAGCAGAAGAAGCACCTCACTTTGTCTTGCTGGCCTAGGTAGAGCATGGATGCTGGCCTTGGCCACACCCAGCCTCTCAGCACCCACCCACTTGGCCAGGTGTGCCCCCCAAGGCTGTGGGGGCTCCCAGGTGGCCTTTCCTTATGTGGCAAGGGTTATCTGGGGTCGCTCAGGAACCCTGGGGGCTCCCACTGCTCTCTGCCCCCCTTTGCCCTGTATTCTCCTTGGATTTCACATGCACCCCACTTTCTCAAAGGTGAAGTGGGGATAGCAGTGCCTTGGGACTGATGCAGACATTCATTCACGGGAGGGCAGGCAGGTCGGGGCTGCTACAGGCCTGTCCCTGGACCCCAGGGGCCCCATGGACGCCCCATACACCTCCCATCCCAACTGCCCCTGGGCACTCGCCACCGTCTGAAGCACCCGAGGAGAGACTCCGAGGGGGAGGGACAGGTGTGGAAAGGCCGCAGGACCCTGCCCCCTCTGCCCCCTCTGCGTCAGGCCCAGACCCGCCCTGCCCTGGGGGAGGGGCTCCAGGCCAGCAGGGTCCCGAATGGCACCCAGGCCCCCAGAACTCACCAGTGTGGAAGAAGCCTGCGGCAGCCAGCACCTCAGGCCGCACCACAGTGGTCAGTGGCCAGTCGTAGAAGGAGGCCAGCCGCAGCTCCTCAGAGCCCATCCCAGGGAAGGCCGGCCTTGCGGATGGGGCAGCCCTGGCCCCCACCTCCTCCTCCTCCTCCTGCTCTGCAAGGGGGCGTAGCTGGCCCAGGATCTGCCCGTCCATGTGGTCCTGGCCTCCCCAGGACACGGCGCAGCAGGTGCCTTGGCCCACAATGTGGCTACACAGAGAGAGGGGCCCACAGCGCCCCTGTGTAGGACTGTTGTCAGCCGCCCAGCGGCTTAGCTCTGGCCCACAGCACCAGCACCTGGCCCTGCCCTCGGGCCCCATAGAGCAAGCACCAGCCCTGACCGGTCCTGCAGCAGTGACAGGGCCCACGGAAGCCAGTCCCGGAATGTGCCCAGCCAGCCTGCCTCAGGGCTCCTGAGCCCTGGGCCCCGCCTGGGGACAGCAGGGCCCTTTGCCTCCAGCAGCTGGGCAGTGAGGGCGGCACAATCCTGCCCCCGGATGCCCCAGCGCGGGGAGCGGCCGGGGGCCCCACTGCTTTCTGGAAGGGGCCAGTGTGGCAGTCAGCATCACGCGCTCTCAGCAGCAGGGGTGTGTCACGGGGCTCCCAGGCAGGGGCCGCGGTGGTGGGGCCCTCGCTCCACTCCACAGGGGTGGGCAGTGACTCCCGGGACAGAGGGGGAGGGGGTGGAGCATGGACACCCCTCCTGAGGCTGCAGAGGCCTACTGCTGGCTAAAGGACCTGGGGTAGGGGGGAGGCGGGCAGAAGGGGGAGGCAATGCTCTGCGTCAGCTCCGAGTTCCTGGGCCAGGTGCCAGTGCCAGCCTCTGAAGGCGGGAGGTTCCAGGGGCTCTGAACTATGCAGTTAGTGCCCCCCCAGAGGGGAGGGCATCCCCCTCTCTCAGGGATGCCACCAGGCTCCCAGGGACAAGGTTACCTAGTGACGGGCCAGCCCCTGGAGCAGTTTCCCTGGACATTCTGCTCTGAACCCTGGAGCAGAGGGGGCATGAGACTTCCTTGCGCCTGGCCCAGCCAGAGCAGGAGGGTCTCAGCTGGTCAGTGTGCAGCTCTAGCCCTTAAGCCATGAAGATCAGGGACAACCGGGCTTGTGTCCTTCCCAAGGCTCTGGGGAAGGGGCTGGCCTGAGCTCACCTCTGTCACCTCCTCAGCCTCAGTGTCCAGGTGGGACTAGGCTGGAGTGTGAAGCCACATAGTGCGGGTTCAGTTTTCCCACTGGAGTCATAGCCCCCAAGACCGCAGTAACCCAGACAGTGGGGACCTTTGGGAAGGGGTCACAATTCCAGCTACCTGTACCTGCTGCAACAGACTGGTCCTCCTGCTTGGGCGACCAGACCAGCCATCCCACTGCTCTCCCAGGTGCCCCCTGCTCTGCCTCAGAACCAGCCCACCTCCCTGGGCCTGGCTGGGCACCTCTGCTTTCCTAGGTAGACATGGGGTGCCCCACTGCTGGCCAGGGGTCAGCACTTGCTCCAGACCCAGATCAGAGCCACCGGCCACATGGAACAGGCTTCCCTCAGACCTGGTCATGGCCACAGGGTCTCCACCAATCCGCTCAAGCCCTGGGGCCCCAGTGCCCCCAAGCCCAACAGTTAGGGAACATGGGAGGAGGGCTGTACCCAGGGAAGCTGGAGCTCCCAGGTGGGCAGAACATGTTCTGATGTAAAGGATGCAGAGAAAGGCTGGATGGGGTGTGGGGGCCATGGCCCTGCTGCCCCCCTGGCCCCCGCCTAGGAGCCCAAACCTACTCCCTGCTTCCTGGGGCGGACCTGACTCTTCTGCCCGCTCAGGCCCTAAACCCTCTCTCATCCCTAACATGCTTTTCCTGGCAGCTCACATCCGGTGTCAGCACCCGTTTGCTCAGTGCAGCAGCCCTTTAAAAACAAGTTTGTGAAGAATAAAGCGAGGAACCAGGCTCTGTAGGGTCATTGCTGACAATGGGGGGCAGGGGGGCTGAGAGTGGGGGCAGGAGGGGCTGATATTGGGGGGCAGGGTGGCCGGCAGTGGGGGGCAGGGGGCTGACAGTGGGGTGCAGGGGGCCGGCAGTGGGGGGCAGGGGGGCCGACAGTAGGGGGCAGGGGCGGGAAGGCCTAACCTGCTCTGGGGTTGGCTGGAAAGCCATGGCAGGGCTGTGGGCAGGGTGGGCCATGCCACAGCAAGGGTCACAGAGAAGAAGTGGGAGGGGGTAGAGGGGTCTGGGGTGTAACTCTGGTTCGCCCTGGCCAGGCCCCTGCCCCAGCGGCCCTCCCTCACCTTCCACGTGGGTCTGTATGAACTGCAAACCCAGCCTCCGGGAGCCCGAGCTCCTATATACCAGCCTGCATCTGTGCTTCCCGTGCCGGGGATGGGGGCTGCCACCTTGCCCTCGAGGAAACCCGTCACTGTCCTGGCCAACCCAGCTACTCAGCCCCGATGCTACCAGGATCCCAGAGAGTCCCTGAAACCTTCTCCTATTAGAGGCCCAGAGCCACCGGATTCCCTGCAGGAAATCCCAGTAAAGGGTGTGGCTGGAAAACCAGGCAGCAAGTAGCAGGGCGCTGCACCCCCTTCTGCCTCCCCGGGCCAGGGTGGCCTGGTGGGCGATAGAGAGAGGGACAGAGAGACAGCTTGGGGGCTGTGGGGGCTGGACCCCAGATGGGACCTCTCAACATGTTGGTCTCAGGATGTCAGGCCTTTGCCCCGCCCATGCTCCACTGCTCAGGATGCAGAGGTATCCTTACCTTTGGCTTCAGCAAACCCCTGAGGGCACCTGTCCCAGGGTCCTTCTGGAAGCTTTCCTCAGGTCAGCCCTCTGCCCCTGCTCCACCCCCACCCTCAGATGGACAGGGAGGTGGGTACCAAGTCTCCAGCCTGCTTTTCCCTCAGCAGGGAGCTCTGCAGCCCCCAGGTTTGCTGTGGATGCTCTGGACCTGGGGACTGGACGGGTTCGGGGGGGTCCTCCCAGGTGCCCCTGGCAGCAGAGGCGGCTTCCCCTGGGGGCCCCTCTGTGGTCTGTTCCCTCTGACCCTACCGCTTTGGGGCTGGCAAGGTAGAAGCAGTCTCCCTCGATTCTGGAATTCCCAAATTTGCACAGTTTGGTTAATTACAAAGTGGAAGGAAGGAAGCGGCTCTGAAAGGGGGATTTGCTGCCTGAGCCGAGGGGCAGATGATCTGCAAGTGTGGGTCTGTGCATCTGGGCACAGCCGTCCGTGGGAGTAGAAGCCTGGACCCGGAGGCTGGATGGGCTGGAAACTTGGTACCCACATCTCTGTGCATCTGAGGGTGGGCATGGAGCTGGGGCAGACGGGTTGACCCCTGAGGAAGGAGGAGGAGGCCAGGCATCCATTGCCTTGCTGATCTGCACCCATGTTTGAAATTCTTGAAACAAAGAATTATCCATGAGTTGCTTATATAATTAAAGAGAAACACGAAGGTAAAAATAGCAATCACATGCTTATTCTGGAAATATTGAGAATACTGAAAATACAAAGAAAATAAAAGTCACTATCTGAACCCATTCGGTGGCAATACTGGGCCAGTTTCTGGATCTGACCTTGCCTTGAAGCTACACTAGGTGTCACCACAGGGTGGGGGCGGGGAGTGGGCTGGACCCCAGCACAGTTTCTTTGAAAGGCACTGTGAATCTACAGTTGTTTCAGAGTAAGCAGCTAAATGGCCATTGGCCTCTCCCTCCGAGATGTGCCCTGCTTACCCACTACCTGCCCACGTTTCTCAGTTAACTTTGTCAGTTTTCAAACATGAACGATGTCTGTCAATGTCTCCGATGGCTCAGCTCTTTGACCTCAGGGGTGCCGTATCTTTACTGCAAAATCTCCCCAGGTGAAAGGATGCCAGACAGGAGATGGGGCGAGACAACCCCAGGCCACCCCAGTCATTTACCGACAGGGGTCTGAAGACGACCCAGGACCCACGCAGTTTGCTCAGGAGCCAGACAAGACTCCCGCTCTGCCTGAGAGATTCAGAGCCAGCCGGGTGTGGACAGGAATGTCCCTGAATTCTCCCACCAGTGTGAGGGGCTGGCCTGTCAGGGTAGGAGAGGGGCCAGCTCAGCGTCACCACCCACAGTCCCCGCCTCCCCCAAGCCCACACCCACCTGAGAATGTTCTCGCACGGAAGCTGTGTGGCATGCTGTCCACCCCAGGCTGGCTTTCCTCGGAGATGATTGGGGCCAGGATGGCTGGGCGGGCGTGCCGACCTACTGGACACATGCCCCTGGAGTGAGGCTTCTGAGGCCAGGCAAAGGAGGCCAGTCCACACAAGGGAGGGGCAGGGGGAGCTGAGTCCCTGGCACTTGGGTCCCCGGGAGGCTCAGCAGGGCCGGGCCTGCTGCCCAGGCCTGGATGCATCCCACAAACTCCTCTGAGATGGGGCAGAGGGCCCCCTCTCTGTGCACCCCCTCTCCTGGCTGAGAAAAGGGCTCCATGAGCTCTCCACTCGGGGGTGTGGAAGCCCGACTGTCACAGGAGCTCCCCTCCTGTGGCCACAGAGCCCCAGGCAAGCACAGGACAGGCCCATAGAGGCTTTGGGCTTCTGAGGGGGCAAGAACAGGTGTGGGTGGGTGGGGGCAGAGCCGCTGGTGCTGGGACCCGTGCCGCCACGTCCACGCTGCTGTCCACCTCAGAGCCTTCCCAGCTCCTGCCTGGTGGCCCGCACTCCATCCAAGAGCCCACTTTGACCCGGTGCTGCTGCTGGGCCCCTCGCTGATGGTGATGGGGGACTCTGCCCTCACAGCTGCAGCCAGCAGAAATCACACACGGCTCGTGGCCATCTGCAGCATCTCACTGAGCCGGGCTGGCCACCGACGACCAGGGTGGGAGGGCGAGAACCGCAGCAGACGTGGTCCTAGAGCCCAGAGGGTGCCTGGCCATGGTGCCACGAGGACCTGTGGGAGGAAGGGGCCCCGGGAAGAGAACGAGGGGGAGGATCTCTCCGAGGAGGCTTCCGCGTCACCCCGCCTTCTTTACCCTGCGTCTTGCCTTGAGTTCTCCGGAGCAGACCCTGGGGTATAAGTGCTTTTGGGGGTCACTGCAGGAAGCCTAAGGAGGGAGTGGGCAAGTCACTGATACTGGGGGGTGTTCCTGAGGGTTCATTGCCACGGCAGCCGTGCTGGGGGCCTTGGAGCCTGCGGACCCCAGGGGCAGCCGGCCAGCACTGGGCTCTGGGGTGAGGGGGGGGGCCAGAGGGAGCCGCGGGCAGAGCTGCCAGAGGCCAGCAGGTGGCGCAGGGGAAAGGTGAGCACCAGCTGTGGGGCTCGGGGGCTTCTCCCCGCCTGCTGAGGATGAACCTGCAGGACCTCAACCGAGCTGCGGGCCCACTGGGCCGCACTGGACCCCACCGGACCCACAGCTTCAGGGCTGCCTCGGTGGGCCAGCCCGAATCACCTCAGGCTCTTTGAATCAGATTATTTCCTGGCATGTGTGGGCCCAGGCCTGGGCAGGACAACTGGCCTCTCTGTGAAAACAGTTCAGTACGGATGAGCCTGGCTTCTTCCTGCCCGTTCCCTGAGCCCAGGTGCCTCTCAGAGCTGAGCCAGGAGGATGGGGGATGGACCGAAGGCGTGGTGCACAGCCTGAAGGGGAAGGAGGGGTGATGAGCAGCCGCCTTGTTGTCCCACTGCCCTGCAAAGCCTGGTATGTCCACTGGCCAGCTCTGCCGTCTGCAACCACCGGGGCAACACCTGGAACCTTGAAAGATCCCATATCTGGGCCCAGATTCCAGCCTAGGGACCCGGGGAATTGGGTTCAGCTTTGGGGACGGCTGGATCGGGGAGCTCAACCCACCTTTGGTAGGGGGGGCTCCAGGGAAAGCAGAGCTGACAGCTTGCACTGGTACACAGGTCCCAAATTCCCCAACCCCATGCAGGCAGAGCTCAAGGGTTGAGGGATTATAGGGGCGCAAAACCTCTTTCTATCTCTCCCTCACTTTGGATTTTCAGACTCACGAGGAGGCATTGCTTGGGGCAGGCATCTCACACACAGGTCAGGCAGGGATGACTCAGCTGAGCCCCGAGAGCCCCCAGAGTGAGTGTGATGTTCAGGGGAGCCACAGAAGGGAGGGGAGACCACCCAAGAGTCTAGGGCCGGCTTGGGAGAGGAGGTGAAGCAGGGGCTGGGTGTGCCTATTGGAGATTGGGAAGAGTATCACAGACGGAGGGGACGTGCCTGTAGCTGGTTGTCGTGGAGACTAGAGGCATTTGAAGGTGCAGGACTTGTGTGGGGCAGGTCATGGGGACCCTGGAGCCAGCCAAGAGGTGCTAGCTGAGCAGCGTTCGGCTGGTGATGGTCACCGAGGCTCCGCAGACACCCTCCTCGGTCAGTCTGAGGTCTGGGCCCGGGGTTTGCAGGCCATGCATCCTCACTGTGGTCAGAACCCTCAGGTGCAGGTGACAGAAACTCAAAGCCTCAGCAGAATGAAATGTATTGGTTCCTGTGGCCAAAAGCACAGAGCTGGACTGCTTCTAGCTTGTCTGGACGGGCCTGCTTCCCCACTCCGGGTCCTGTCTTCTGTGTCCCATCACCCACAGGCCAGCA